GAGGGAGAAGAGGAGAGAGAGAGAGAGAGGGGACTGGCGAGGGAGAGGAGGAGAGAACCTCCAAGCTCCCGATACCTCAGGCGGTGAGAACCGCCGTGTTAGCCAGTCACCCGCTGCTGCTCCGCTCGCTGCTGCGCTATGCTGCGCTCCTGCTTCAGCCCCTGCGCTAAGTTTAGCGCATCAAACAGCACATTGGTGCTGACCATGCCGTGCCGGTAGAGTTCCGGTAGGCCGATCCCCTACTGAGGCAGGTACCGGTGCTTATACCGGTAGGAATTGGTCTGGCCTCAATGCTGCGAGGCCAGGCCAGACCCTGAACCGTCCAGATGGACGGTTCAGCCTCAATCGGCGGGCGGCAGCTTCAAGAGCGCCGCCAGGCCCAAACGGAGTGTCGTTTGGGCCTACCCGATAAGTGGCTGTCCAAAGTCAGGCCTTTAGGGTCTGTAACCCCAAAGGTCAGGCCTTTAGGCCCTGGTGTGTCCCTCTGGTCCTAAGTCGGGTCCGGTAGGACCCGTGTGAGTCGAAGATGTAACACACTCCCCCTCTTAAAAGTCTGAGCTACCTGCGAGGGCGAAGTTGTTTGTCCGATACCGAGGTGGGTCGGGCGGGACGAGCTGCGTCCTTAGCAAGGCGGCGCTTCTCAGAGTCTGCGAAGATGAGGGGTGCAGAAGTCTGCAAATCTTCACTGGAGATCCACCGAGTGTCATCAGGCGCACATCGCTTGAATGTGACCTTGTACTGCCTTGGCTTATTGCCATACTTGCGGTGCGTAATGACTCGGTCAACTTCCTGATGTCTGTCCATAGAAGGCGGATCCTGTGATCGACGTCCAGGGAATTCTTCAGCTGGAGGTGGCGTATAGATGGCCAACTTCGATGCATGGAAGACCCGATGCACTGTYAGGTGCGGTGGAATGTTGATCACGAAGGAAGGGCCGGCGGGGTCGTCTCCAACGGCAGAAGTGACTTCCCATGGTCCGAACCATTTCGGAAGGAGTTTGCGCGAAACATCTTGCTCGAGCGCAAATTCCTCGGAGAGGACCCAAACAAGGTCTCCCTCGCGGAAAGGACATGGAAGTCGACGTCGGTTAGCTTGCTGCTGCATGCGGACCTGAGCCTTTTGCATATYCGCGCGGGCTTTGATCAGCAATTCCCGATACTTCCTGACAGAAGCGGGAGAGCAAGGGACGTCTATGTCGGCAACCTGTGGCAAAAGGAGATCAGCGAAGATCCGTGCTTTCTCTCCACCATGATGTAGCTCGAATCGTGTGACGTAGATCGCCGGGTGCACCGAAGTGTTGTAGGCGAACTCGATGTCGGGAAGCCGGTCAACCCAATCTTTCTGGTCGAGACGGATGAGCGTACGCAACATCATCTGAGCGGTCTGAAGTGCCGCTCCATCTGATCATCCGTCTGCAGTTGCCGAGCCGAGCTCGGTTTCATTGTCGTACTGGACTCAGCCATGAGGGAAGTCCAAAAGGCTGACATGAAACGAGTATCTCGGTCGCTCACTATGTCTTTCGGAACACCTTGGTTGGTAATCCAACCGGTGTGCAAGAGTCGTGCGAGCTCAGGTGCTGCAGCATGATACTTGCAAGGAAGGAAGCGGGCATACTTGCTCAAACGGTCAACGACCGTGAGAATACCGTCATGGCCGTGGCGATCGCGGGGAAACGGGCCAGTCACGTCCATAGGAATGGAGAGGCGTGGTGCCTGAGGGATCGGCAACGGTTTCAGTTCGCCGAAGGGGACTCGAGATCGACCCTTGTTACGGTGACAAACTGCACATGACTCGATGTACCTCGTGACGTCGTGGAGGACGTCGGGCCAGTGAAAACGCTGGCTGAGGCGTGCCAATGTGCGGTTCACGCCAAGGTGTGCCGAAAGTCGTGTGTCGTGGAATTCGCCGAGAAGACGAGTCCATAAGATGCGATCTTGGGCCACAACTAACAAGTCCTTTCCTCTCGTGTGAAGGAGAAGGAACCCATCGAAAATCCGATAGTGGCTAGCCGGCGGGTGGTCCGATGAAAGCTCTGCGTAAAGCTTGGAGTAAGTCGGATCGGACTTGTAACCTTTGACGAAATGCGGCTGCAGATCGTCATCGAGGTCGAATGCCGTGGTCACAATGGCACAAAAGTCGGGCCGTCGTGAGAGGGCGTCCGCAGCTCGATTGGCGGGACCGGGAATGTGGCACGGGTCAAAATCGAACGGGTCGATGTAATACATCCATCGACCGATCGTGCTAGTGACCGTGTCTTGCGTTTTATAAAAGGTCAACGGATTGTTGTCCGTATTCCACTTAAAACGCCGACGGCCGAGAAGAAAGTGGCGCCACCGTTTGAGGACGGTGACGAACGCGAGTAGTTCTTTCTTCCTGACGTCATCAAAAGTGTTGACGAGAGGCACCTTCTGGGAGAAGTACTCAACCGGATGCCAACCGTCCTCGTGACACTGTTCCAACACCGCACCAATACCGTATCCCGAAGCGTCCGTAGTCACTTGGGTGGGTAGGGTGGGGTCTTATATACGGAGGGCAGGTGCGGCTTGCATCGCTGCCTTCAACGTAGTGAACGCGCCACGGGCTGCGTCGTCGAACTCGAAGGGCACCTTCGGGGACCGAAGTCTCGACAAAGGAGCAGCCACTTTCGAGTATGACTTGACGAAACGCTGATAATATCCAGCCAATCCCATGAAAGAGCGTACATCCGTCGTGCAACGKGGTTCCGGCCAATCCACGATGGCTTGGATCTTGTCCGCTAAGGGACGAATGCCTTTCGGCGTGACAAAATGGCCCAAGTACTCAAGCTCCTGCTTGGCGAATTCGCATTTGTCGAGATTCGCTTTGTACTTGGCTAGTCGCAAACGATTCAAGACAACGCGAAGGTGTATGATATGCTCGTCCAACGTCCTGCTGTAGACCAAGATATCATCAAGGTAAATGAGGACGCTGCGATCGAGCAGGTCGCGAAACTCAGTCGTCATTGTTGCTTGAAAAGTAGCGGGGGCATTGGTGAGGCCAAATGGCATGACAACCCACTCAAAATGCCCATACCGCGTCTTGAACGCGGTCTTGTACCGGTYTTGAGGCTGGATTTCAATCTGGTGGTAACCTGACTTCAGATCCAACTTCGAGAAGTACGTCGCGCCGCCTAACCGCTCAAGGAGATCATCAATCCGAGGGAGAGGGCCGGCGTTCTTTATGGTTTGTGCGTTAAG